ACATTGGCCGGCCCTTTCAAGTCATTGCAAAGGCGAAATCGTATTCCTATTGCCACTACGTCCTGAATGGAAGTAGAATGCATGGCGTATCCCAAGACGAACTTGATGCGCGACAACGCTGGATGCTTTATGATGCTCTCTAATTCTTTGTATGAGTAGGTTCGCACGAGGCGCAATGAAGGAGGTTCACCAAACAGTAGAGCTTTCTTTACACACATGGACCATCACTGCCTGAATGACTAGCGGATGAAGAAAAATAAGGATCCGAGCACAGTTACGTAGAAATTATCTCAGAAGCACCCTTTAAAATCTGGGAAATTTAGGATCTAATGCAGCGTTTTTAAAGGCAAAGTTCGGGCTCAGACCCACCTAAGAAGCCCTTACCATGGCTAGAAGTGCTGGGTACGCAAGTGCAAAGGTAGCGCCACCTTTCTACATCGAAACGCGTCACTAGGACCCTAGGCGCCATGGACTTCTAACAGACTCCACCAAACTTAACATGGTCCGCCCACCGTTCGATATCTTGTCTGCGTCGCTGCGTTGATCTGCTATGCTCTCTCTTCTCGGACTTCTCTACCACTCTCCGCGCTCACATTATCTCTCATCTCCCTGCCTGTCTTTTGAACTTCTCCACAGCATAGAGCAAAATGCTCGTATTTCCTGTGTATTTCAGGATTTTCTTTCCTTTTTTCTCCACTGGCGGTCCACCTCTCATCCCTACTTTCACATTTGAGTGGAATCAACTATGTGTTTGTGATTTATGTATGGGAACCACAGTTCTACCACTGAATAGGAGGAAGCCCTTATCGTTTTCCGGCCATTTCTCAGAACAAGTTGCTAAGGGTTTGAAGTGGGTCCTCCAAAGGCCAGCTTGGCTACCAAAACCTTAAGCCTTTTTTTATTAAAGAGATTTATAGAAACTTATAGCTTGACGCACCCTTCCTTCGACATGTTGAGCGCTTGGGAATAGCGGTGGTGGCGTCTGAGAAAGCAGTAACGCGGCTGGATGTCCCAGAAATACTGCACCTCTCTTCGATCGAATCACCGTTGAGAGCATATCCTGTGAAGTGGCGAATTCGACAGCTCTCCACTCGGATAGCGAGAAAGTTGGTTCATTCTGTAACACTTCATTTCGATAAATGATCTCTTTTTGACACGTTGACGACAGCGTGACGCGGTTACGCGTAACATATTGCGTACCGCGTGCGCCACCATGTGGAGCACTATTTTACGGACGAGCGTCGTCTTATCTGTTTTTGTTGTTTTTTCAATGTTTCCGAACTGTTTTGCACTCACTTTCAGAGCAAATGAAACAAACAGCAAAAATAAATCACTGAGGAAAATTTTTTGCTTAAATAAATTAATGATACTCAATAAAAAAGCTCAGAAAGGTAAGCAAGAGGTGGGCTAGCACAACGTGCGGTCGCGCAATTTCGGTGTTCAATTACGATTATTTGCGATTTTTACAGTGTCCATGTGGTCATACAAATGCACATCGGGTGGCTAAATAGATTCAGGGTTAACAAGCGACAGAACGAACGACAGCTTTTGTTGGATGACTGCAGTTTTTGGTCGCAACCCGCGTTGCAAAAGTGTCTCATGAATGATGGGTTTAGCAGACAAGAAACTCCTCTACCCAAGTGAGGACTGAACACTACGCATCTCTTGCTTTCACGGCGGGCACTGCCCTACCGATTACACCATCGGGCACACGATCACTTTAACCCAACTTGCAATGGTGCACGATACAAAACACGTCAAAATTGATATCTGTAAAGCTTTCAACCTCAGCCGATGCTTGTTCAACGAGCTCACCGGGTTACTTCCATGTGCGGACGCTTATAAGCTATTTTGGTGAATATTGGTAATATACCTCAAATGAGGGCTAATGGTAAGGTGAAATGGTGCCCTGCTAGTGCAACTGGTAACAGAATCACTCGGTGAGCGAGAGGTGGCGGTTTTCGATTCCTGCCTGAGGAGAATGGTTGCCCATAACTCAGCATCCTTGTACAACTATTGACTGAAGTTTCTTAAAGATTAGAAAAATGTTGCCTGATAAATCAATTTCGAGAGGGTGAAATGGCTGAGCTCTTGTCAACTGGATCACCCTTTTTTGAAGCGAAAACTTCAAAATTTCAAAGCCCGAACCCTTCAATATGACAGTTTGTTCACTCAAAATCCCACTCGAAGACTTGTATGAAATTTTTGCACCAATTTGCTTAGTCAGATTAGCACGATTTCGCCAAGGTATTTGCTCTTATATCTTTCCGCAAAAAGCAATGGTACCATGATCAGGGTAACCTTACCTTCACTATCAGTGGCTGGATGGGTATCCGCTGAATGATTTCTCGGTGACGTGGCAACAAATCATACAGTACTCGATTTTTCGTGGCCAATCGACGAATTTCTACGACAGACGCCAATCAATGTCCTGAAAAGAACACTTGTACTGAAATGAAAAGCTATGGAATGAGTAGAAAAAAAGATGGAATACTATAGAGTAATCGTACATAATACATTGATCGAAAAAGGCGATTTCACTACGCTCTCGATCTGGTGATTGAATCCCTGAATCGTGTACAGTACCTAGGTCCTTACATCCCTTCGGGGGGGATCAACTTATTGGAGCGTAAAGCCTCTGCTTGTTTGGCTGACCATCCGCAAGTCACTCTGTAGCTAAATCGCACTCAAAATGACATTGCGATCAAGTGGAAGTAGAGTGCGTGGCGCATAGCAAAATGGACTGACCAACGCGGAATCTTTTATTCTTGATCCTTTATGTGTAAAGATAGATGGCGCGGCTTTTAGAAGATCCTTCGAAAGTTACATACAATAAGGGATTCCAACTATAGGAAGGCACGTATAGTTTCCATGGGATCTTCGGGAGGATCCGTAATATTTACGGAGGTAGAAAGAGGGAACTTACCAGTCTCGGTGTTGATGAGTTTAATACCAGTTAAACCAGGTCAGTACAAATGATAAATGCATTCACAGTCGTTGTCAGTGATCATACAATTTCGCAGTTGTAAAAGTACAACATTAGCCGTTGATCACTTTTTGGGAGGCGGCACGTATTCTACTTCCAATTGAAACATCTCCCCGCCCCCAGAAACTTGCTATGCGTACTTGGCCTAAATGCAATGATTGCGGTTGGGCCAGATTCGAGTCGGTGCGCTTTTTTTGATACTCTCAGGCGAGTCTGGTACCAATTAACCGACCCCGGAAGGACTGAAGGCGAGAGGGCCGGACGACGGGACCTGGGAGCAGGGTCAACCCTATCGTTGTTACTTTTCGAAAAATTTTTACGACCCCCCTCCCCCAAGGTGGATTTGGTACGACCCCCTTTTCGACCCTCGACCACCATATTCCTCTCTATAGTATTTAATTCTGGTACCACTCAACCCACCAAACTCCGCCCACTTTTTCCTCCAAAAATGCCGTCGAGGGGGGGGTATACGCGCGCTGAAACGGCAAATTTTCTCCTTGCGCGCCCTCCACTCGCACAACCTACTACCCACGAAATCTTAGTTTCTCCTCAATCCCACACGTGATTTCGAGCAACTAAAGTGGGTACGACCCCCCCTCCTACAAACTCAACCAGGTACGACCCCCCCGTTGTTACTCGTAACAACGTAGGGTTGACCCTGCTAGGACTCGCTTAGCTACTAACAACACTGCAACACTTATGCCCGAAAGTAAGGGCGGAAGTGCTGCAGTGGCGAGTGACTCTGCCTTTCTACTTTTCTAGGGTTTTTTTGGAGAAACTATAGCATACATAACACAAATGCGCAAAGTGTTCAACCATTTGCAAAAAAATGTGGAAGGTAGGCTAAGAAAAACTCCGCAACGGTTGTTTGAAAAGTCTTACCGTGTCGTCTTCGTCAAGCTCCAGATGAGAAGAGACCAGCAGCTTATGTCCATCGCCAAGCTAATCCTAACAGCATGTTGATCCATTGGAGTTGGAAGCCTTGACAAAGAGTAACATTAGGCTCGTTGATCTCTCTCGACCCAATTCCTCCCGGGTCTGCTTTCATGTACTTACCACAGACAGCCGAACAGATAGCATAACGGGCTGGTCGAGACGAGCAATGTATTCGAGAATTTGGAACAGTTGTCTCCAAGTGAGCCTAGAAGTGAAGAAAATACAAGGATCAAGAACTTAAAGTGACTATTCTTCTAAAGTCCACTTGAAACAGTTCCTGTAAAAGCCGAAAGCGCTGAGACAGAGAGGGTTCACAAGAAGACTGGAATGTGTGGATCAGGCGCTCATCGGGCCAAAACTGCAAGCATCATCCAGTCATTCTGATCCCTTGTGAAATAGTACTGTAGAATTGCTAATCGTCGGAGTGAATCGAACTGTGGAAATGGAAGACCCTGACCTGAGCTAAGACCACAAAAAAGAGGCGGTAAGCCCACTATTGAATGACTACAGCCGTAGGATATGACATCCTTGCGATATCCATCCAAAATCGTAGCAGCGTTTCAAATCACAACTGATATGTACACTGAAATGTTGGTAAGTATCCAATCCCGAGACAGTTCACATAGCGTTAGATATAGGCCCTACACCAAGAAATCGTGGCGCAGCCGTGAAGATCTAGCTTTGCCAAACACCAGCTCCAAGAATCTGCAGGTTTTATTGTAATCGTTATTGCCATGCTAGCCAAAGCAGTTACATCGTGCTCAGCTTTTGATCTGAACAATTAGAGATTTTAATCTCACCGTTTATACTTCGGATTCAGGAGTTTATAGTTGGATTGTTTCGTCCACCCCAACGAAAGTGTCGCATCTGGGAAGAGGCGACGTGCTCGATCGACGAAGGACGACGGATCAACGACATTCTGAACACATAAGATTCTCTAGTTGTTGCTGAATCGATTATTTGTTTTGATTTTGAATTTGGACACCATGGACTGACCTCCGCACTTCTCGCTGATCGAAAAACATTAGCATGAAGTATGACCGGATACTGTAGAACAGGTGCAAATGGATCCGCTTGAGACGCGTACAGGTACTGTAGCACTGGTCGTATCACTTCCGTCGATCGAAAGTTGATTTTAATCGCTGAAAGTGTGTCATAGAAAATGGGGAATGGTTTGTATACCATTCAGCTATCACAGACACTTGGTTGCAAAGATTTCTGTTCTCGGCATCAAAAATAAAAGGTATAGTACATGGTAATAATTATCATATTGTGAATTCAGCTCATATCTTTGCCGAAACAAATTCCTATCCCTCTTCGATTTTTTTATTACCATGAAAATGAGAACTTCATTGGGTTATTTATACCCCCCCCCCCCCCAAAAGCCCCCCCCCCCCCCCCCCCCCCCCCCCCCCCCCCTTCCACTCATTGAACTATTGCGTATTTATTTATTTATACAACTCAAATAATGCCGGCCAATAAGAGAGACTTGGCACGAATCGGAGGCTACAGAAGAGAGTCATCAATTAAGATAAACTGATGCGGGGCCGAACCAGCAACTGGCAGCAATTACAGTATATACGTTGGAGGGGAAAGAACCTCCAATCTATAAGGACTGTACCAACACGCTTCACTGAACGGCGGACTTTGAGGACGAAACCACTAAGCCGTACCCACACCAGTTGGAGCATGTAGCTTCATCCGAGAAAGGAGTTTTATTGGGAGCCAGCGTCGGCACTTCGGCCACGGGTAAGTCAACGCGCTCCTTTGTGGAACAGCGACTTGTCGATACCGGCATTGAAGGACAAGCGAATGAAGCAAGGAGCGCTTGGGCAGGGCAGATTCAGCACCGGTTAGAGCAATGAGTGGAAGAAGAGAAGTGTAATCGTGTAAACTATTGGTAAAACAATTAGCTGTGGGAGAAACTGGAAAGAATAGTGTATGGAAGCTTCATACGGACTCGGTTAATTGCTATCGCAAAAGTTGTTTGAAAAATGAAAACACAATTTGCATAGTACATAAGAAGCTGTGAACAATCTGATGACAGGGTAGCTCTGATCGAATCTCTTCCAGTTTTGTTTCTTCTTTATTTTCTTGATTCATGATAGACAGATTTCCATTGGCCGACCGCGGGCTTCCATCACGTTGCGGACTCGAAATTTGGAAAATCGGCGTGCGTAGCTGTTGAAAATGGAATTGACCAGGTGGTCAGTAAATGAGTGCCTGCGTTCTTCTATGTCACCGTTTTGCTAACAGTTTCGTACATAAGTCGATTGCGTAGTGTTCTTTAGAAAGGAGTCAGCGAAGGAAGCGGTTAGCTCGCAAACTGAAGAATATCTCTGAAAATCTACCATTTCACTAGATTTTCTCCAATTTCTGACCTTCCGTAGTGCTCCATTTTCACCACAAAATACATAGTCGTTATTGCTACAGTTTCAAAAAGGAGGTGAATGCGTGGAGTGTCTCTAAAAGGACTCACCGAAGGTGCATCCTATACTGGCCTTCTAAATGCGCAAGGGTTACACATTAGAGGGTGACAAGTCATCCTGCTAACATACCTGCCTCCTTTCCCTTCCACCCCCCCCCGCTTTTCTGCCCAAGTGACCTGACGACATAATTGATGAGCAAGACTGACTGTTTGCAAACGTATTGAGGGATACCGTAATCAATCATTTCTTTTCGCCGAACTAAATATTAGACACGGCGGCGGAGGACTGACACATCTATGTCATTACACCACCGCCTGCGGTTTCTACCAGTCGGTATTTGATCGATGAGTGTTGGCTGTAGTGTGCAGTGCAATCTGCTTGTCTGTTCTGACCTTTTCGTAGGTTCGCCACCTCACGAAGCCATTCCTTGAATGTGATTCGATCAGCCGTCCTGGCATCGGCTCTCATCACCGGTATGGCACGATGCCGTGGACGTCGTCCGGTCTGCAGAAACACATCGCCTTCGATCAGCATCGATTTGTTGAGAAACGGTTCTGAAAATGATATAGTAGATTGCACGGCTCCTTAGCATTGAACACGGTCTAATCATAGGTCTAGCGCGCGCTCAGGGCTACCGTGGTCATTTGATCGTGAACGCACTCGCAATTAACGATCTCACGCTTGGCGGCGGTATCAAAGGAGAACGGCTTGCTTTTTTCGCTTGATTGGCATTTAACGACCTTAGAACGATGTCTCTCGCCAGCGAACAAAGTGATACCGGACATAAATGAATTTTTTAAAAGAGCCTATGCCCGCGCTCAAAAAATTCAAGATCCTATTGAATCTTGAGTTCAGAACCTGTTGAGAAAATAATCTAAGGTTGCTTATGATGGACCCAATGAGGCAATGCCGCCAGCGTTAAGCAGGGCCCTGGGCAAATTTTAGGGATTTTTACGACCCTTCCGTTTAGAGGAGGCCACAATCACCCGCTTTGTCCCTTTCGCAGTGATCCTATTTTCAAATACCAACAATCTACCTCCTTTA